AAATGCGACAAAAAAGACTGCCTGTATGAATCTGTTATAATAAATGAAACGACGTCTGAACTTTTTTAGAAGTTCTTCTCCAGATAAAGATAAAAATTGTTGTCTACAATATAAATTTTCACACTTTAGTGCTTTTATAAAGTTGTAAAACAAGCATAGTTCATGTACAACGCATCGTGAAACCTGGTTTCGGTTTAGTATGTCATTAGTTAAACGTATTTTAAGGTAATTCTCCCATTCGTTTCTTTGTTAATTTTGTAATTATCAGTTAAGTTTATTCAGGCAGAATTTCTCTAAAATTATTTCGATCATTATGAAAGGGTTCCCTGAAGGATGTAATAAGTCAATTATAAGAACCGAGCTTTGAAGTTGTATTAACCTAGAAGAACCGGTGTTTAAAGTCGAATTATGTTACAAGCAGGAATGTAGTGCTGCCAGAGCGCGACTCGGCACCTAAAATTGGATGAGAATCCCGACACTTCAAAAACTCAAAATATGTACATAAAAATAAATTAACCAGCTTACACCCGAAATTAAATGCCCTTCATAACCAAACTTTTAGAGCGTCAGAGAACACTCTGAATGTTTGTGAACCCCCGTGTCTACTGGTAGAGCTCTCTCAGAACGCTTAGCACACACTCTGTCACTCTCCCTCAAGAGTTGGAGTCAGGCACCTGCGACCCCTTCGGCTCAAGAGAAGGTGTCAGAGCGTTAAAACGGTGAAATGTTTTTAGTCATTCGTCACTTAATTATTGAAACAAATGAATACGGTATTAAAACGCTTAATAAATTACATCTTGCAATTATATTGTGCTTAAAACATACACAATTACATAATACACGGCAAAAAAATATATCGCCTTTTCTGGTTATTCGTGATGGCAGGAAAAGAATTGTGAAAAAATTATAAAAGATATATTGTTAATATATGTAGTGCAGTTAGAAATATTGTAAGTTAATAAGATATGCATTTTTAAAACTAGTTTTAATAGTAGTGATTTTATATAGTACCTAGTTGTTTTTTCTTTGCTGCTTCAGTTGAAGGAAGTTGAGTTGCATGTTTTCTCTTGGTAGTATATACATATTCTGTTTAGTAGTGCATATATTTGCTTTAATTAAAATAAACTCATAAAGATGGAAATGTAAAATCTTTACCTAGATGGTGACACCACATTTCTAACAGGTTTTGGCAAGAATTCAGCACAACAAAATTTAGCACTACGTCACAGGTTAAAAGAAACCATGTTGAAGCAGAAATGTTTGAGTCAAAATAAGTTACAAAAAGTTTGAGCCGAAGTAAGTTACAAGAAGCGATTTTTGAAGTCATACATGGTGAGTCATTACGGTGTCTGTTTGTTGGTATTATTTTATTAATGGAAACATATAATGGTATGTAATTTCCAGTTCTTTATTTTGCCTTTGTATTCTCAAATAGGATGACTACAGTGTTTAAATGAACTAATAATAACCTTAAAGTTGTAATAAAAAAGAGGCTGAAAACTTAATACCTAATGAAAGGTTTACACAATTTAATTTTAAAAAGAGTGCTTTGTTTTCTAATCAAAGAGTGTTACTTTCGGCCAAAGCAGGAGACGGCGTTAAAAGCACACTGCTTCCAAAAAGACCGCTTTTTCTGGAGGTCGTCGGTGTCCAGATTATTTCTCAAACGGTTCACCATCTGGCGGGCAAAAAGGTAGTTAAGGAGTGCCGCATCCACTGAACCATCATCATTCACCATCTGTTGAGGAAAACATTTTGTATACTGTTTGTGTCAATGCTGTTAAGAAATTATCACAAAGTTTATATACACATACGCGACCACTTTGCGCATGTATGTTGGAAGAAGAATCAACTGAGCTAAAACTAAAATATTTTTTTTCTTTCCCTGGCACCTTGATGCATTTGTTTCTCTGGTACATGATCTTGTACGTTATAAGATTGTACATAGCTCTAAAATCCTTATACTAGGGTATCTTAGTAAACAGTGAAAAGCATAATTCTCGAAACGAGATCAAGTTAGGTTCGAATAAGAACAACTTTGACAAGGTTATTCTAGTTTGATCCTTATCAGATTTTAGCTTTAACAGTAACAGAAAAAGAAAAAAAAAGATTAGTCAGAGTAAATCTTTGTAAATAAATACAAATTCACATTTTCACCTCCAATCACCAGTTACTTGTTTGTCCTTGTTCCATAGCTTGTGCTTTGGTGGTGTACGAAAATGTTTTTTTACCTTATTTATGGCATAAATAATTTGAAATTATTCCACGTAAGTAATCCCAAAACATTCTAAAGACATATTTTAGAAATACAACAGTGTACATTGGACTGTTCATAGCGTATTTATTGCAAAACTGTTTAGCTTCAAATTACTATACAAACCATAATTTTGAGAATCATTTAAAAGCTCTCTTTGAAAGAAATGTAGGATTATGTGATAAATCCACGTAACACGTATTTCATGACGTATTAAATTTTTCCCGTTTAAATAAAGCAATTACTTTAGATATTATGTTTAATATAATAATTGTTTTTCTTTGTTTACGACAAGTGCTTCTTGTGGTTCTCTTGATTCTTTGATTTAAAACATTTCTTTGCTTTACAGCACCATGGGGCAGTAAGTGTGTTATAAGAATAACAATCAAATCCTTTTACTCGAATAGAGTTAGCCAAAAGCATGGCTGTGGGTGCTATTGACAAGTTGCTTTCTCTCTAGTCTATCAATCCAAAATTATGGGCGATTAGGGCAAGTAGCTCTTGTGTAGCTTTGTGTGAATATTAACAAATAAACAAATGTTTTAAACAATTATTTGGATTTTTTTTATGAATTCGTACGTTTTTAATTTTATTTTGCTTTGAATCAAACATCTTCTTTGATTTTCTTATATAAGTCACTTTCGTTGCTTTTCTATTTCAAATTTGCCGCTTTCTCAGGTTTTCTTACTTAAATCAAAACTGCTTCCTATATGAGCCCCGAGTGGCTCAGTTTATATGCTAAAAATCGGGGCAAAGTGTATATAGCCTCTTGTGTAATTTTGCATTTAAAATGAAACAAACGAGACTTACGGTAATTTTTCGCTTAAAACACCCACTGTATTTAAATCTTTGTTTTGATTAAACCAAGTTCTTATACTTTCTGGTTGAAAGTAAAAAAATTACTTGTTTAGTTTAGGTTTTGAAATAATCACTGTCTTTAGTTCTTTGTTTCATGACTTATCTTGTCACTATTTCTTTGGTGTATAAAAAAAAAGAGACGTTTTTATATTCGTAATTTGAAATTGCCCCTTTCATTTGTGGTTTGATCTTTTGGTTTTTTGTTTTAGAACATCCATTATTATAGTTTGAAACATAAGCCTTGTTTTCATGTAGGGCGCTGTTGCCTTTTGATTTAAAACAATCAGTTATGACAGGATATTTTGTTCTTTTCTGGAAGTAGTGTTAGTTAAGTGTTTTTAAAAGAGGATAAATATATACATTTACTTTCTTTGAGAAAAATGCAATGAAATGAGATTTTTAATTATAGGCCATAACTAGCCAAATGTACGATGACAATAATAAATAAACCTATACGTTATCGATAAATTAAACACGTTAATCAGTGTATTATGCATGAATTTAGGTTCTTCTAAATTTGTTTTTCCTTTGCTTCTTTTTTTATGCTAAGAAAAACGAACCAAACGTTAGTTTTATTCAAAGTCAATAAAACTTTGTATCGAAAACAGTTAGCACTCAAAACACGTACGTGAATGATTTCGTTACTAAAACGTCAGTGTTTATATGATTAGCACTTAAAACACGTACGTGAATGATTTCGTTACTAAAACGTCAGTGTTTATATGATTAACACTTAAAACACGTACGTGAATGATTTCGTTACTAAAACGTCAGTATTTATATGATTAGCACTTAAAACACGTACGTGAATGATTTCGTTACTAAAACGTCAGTATTTATATGATTAGCACTTAAAACACGTACGTGAATAATTTCGTTACTAAAACGTCAGTATTTATATGATTAGCACTTAAAACACGTACGTGAATGATTTCGTTACTAAAACGTCAGTATTTATATGCTCACAACTCTTTCGTAGAGTGGACATCTATAGAACATTTTAGTTTACGTTAAACATATTATATTAAATGTTCGCATCTGTAGCTCCATAACGGAACCACGTGATCAGTGTCACGTAGAAAAAACTAAACATGCTTGGTCCCATTATCTACTACGATACTAAAGCTATACACTGTTACACACCATTAGTCGATCTTCATAAACCATAAATAGTAATTAACTTTGAATATTAGACTTAAGTTAGTGAGATATATTAAGATGAAACTGACACGGTGGGTTCTGTTTCCGTTCACGTAGATTAAAATGAAACTCTGTAGTTTATACTAAAATCACACGGCCTCACTAACTTCCTAAATGGCAGTAACGGTGATGTTTTAACGAAACGTGGTTAACTTCACCAGAGTTTGCAAATGCTTATCAACTCCCCTCTATCTTGCTCAACTCAGTAACTAGTGAACATTACCTATCAGTATAATATTAGTAAATTGCCACTACTAAGGTGTAGTTGATACATTTTTTCCAAGACGGCAGTTTTACGAATGATTAGATAAGAAAAGAGGGAGAAGTCAACTGGACGTTTTCGTGTTTTTTCGTTTACAAAATTTATTAAATTTATTGTGATATCTGCTGGTCCTGGCTAATACAAACTATGATATATAACAATATTATAATCGTAAATTTTCATCGGATACTGTAAACTATAATTATTACAACAAGAACTTCCTCTGTAAGACCTTTCACGGTTTCATAAATTCTTTTCTCTCTTTTTTTTTGAAATTCACATTTTATTGATAATTCGTACATGTACTGATAATTACAAGCTGAATTGTCATTATCAAAAATGTCATTCTGAACTTGTAACTTGATTTCACATTCACATATTAATGAACAAAAGATGATGTTCTATAAAATATAATCAAATGAATGCTTCATTAAACTTTTTTTTGTACTTTGTTGTCAAACTTTAAAATACAAAGGATTGAATATACTGTATATAAAACGATTTTCAATATACAAATCAGCAATTCCCGTGACAACCACAGCCAATATAAAGTCGCGGTGGAACGTCATGTATCAGAATTACATTTTGACATTGCTTGGCGTTATGTAGGTGGTGTGATGTCACCACAGATAAGTCGCTTTTGGAAAGGATATGTAACAGTCCTTTCCGGCGCATAATATTTATACATTCATATCACAAAGATGTGTTCGGATCGGGATTTAGAATTTCTAAGACGGGAATACCCCTTGTACTTAATGTCATTGGAAAACAAAGAAATATGGATCAACTTGGGAAGTCAAGACTATCCCAAAAAAGACATCTGCAACAAGTCGTATCACAGCAAAAGCAAAAGGAAACATTTTGCAACAGGTGAAAATCCATAACACAAAGTTCAGTAGCAAAAACCGCCCATGTGACCCGGGCAACAGTCCCAAATATAACCAAGAAGGATGTCCGTCTGCAAAAACGACAGAAATTGTTTCAACAGCATATCCATTCAATCATTACATACCTCAAGCAGCTAGAGAATAAAACGAGTATTCATACTATCCCATAGGAAGGCATACCGGTTAAGTCACTTATGGATTTTTGTGCGATCGAACTGATGAAACGGGCATGGGAAACCGTTATCGTCGTCCACTAGATGGATTATGGAAAGCAAACAGAGTAGTGATGTACTTTTTACAATAGAAACTCCGCTGCCAGGCTGTTGGGCTATTGTCACGATATACGCCATCAGATAAAACATTACAGGACGTGTAATGGCAGGAAACGGCTTGAATGGGTAATGAAGAAAAACTTTAATATAACAGCAAATGTACAACGTTTCGACAAGGTTTTTGTC